CCAGGGGCTAATTTATGCTTTCAATAATCAATAATGCTAAATGCATTCACATTGAGAGGTTTTGTGTAAAGCCTAAGAAGAAATTAAACCAATCTTTAGCCTAGTGACTTTCCTACCGATAACACAGTTACTGTACTGGATAATAAAAAGCTGAGCACTTACCACTAAATTCCCAATCACCATGACCAACATGAAAACAATAAGGCACATGGATTGGCCTGCAACCTCCATACAGTCCCACATGGTTTCTATCCATTCTCCACAAAGAACTCGGAACACGATCAAGAAAGAGTGGAAAAAATCATTCATGTGCCAACGAGGGAGTTCACAATCTTCTGCAATCTTGCACACACATTCCTTGTAGCTTTTACCAAAGAGCTGCATACCAACCACAGCAAAAATGAAGACAATGATGGCCAGGACCAAAGTCAGATTTCCCAAAGCACCCACAGAGTTGCCAATAATTTTGATCAGCATATTTAACGTTGGCCAGGATTTTGCTAATTTGAAAACACGAAGCTGAAAAAGCAGTAATAAAAATATACAATTATTAATAATCAAAACTATTTGGGGGGGTGTATCTTTTACACCACAATTTATAAAAAGAAATATTAGAGGAAGAAAAAACTATGCTGCTTTGTAATGTCCTCCCTCCCAAAGTGAGTGGATTATTTAAACCCAGTATTTTCGAAGTGTCACTCAAGATTCAAAACAGTATTTAGTCTATTAAATAGTGTTTACTTTATTAAAACACACAATAGAGAAAACAAAGACAAATGTTTAGAGAAAAAGGAATAGGATTAAAGTATAAGTATGAACCAAGAAACAGTAACTGGAATAATTCTTAAATGGAGACTGAACATCAGGGAAAGGGCTTAGGTAAGGAACTGAGCAAGGCAGGGGTGTCAAACTGCTGGCCCATGGGCTGGATGCATCATGCCGAAACCATGCCCACCCCATTGCCGGCAATGGAAAAAAAGTCATGATACGTCGCAACATGTCACGTGACGTTGAGAGTTTGATACCCCTGGAGCAAGGCTTTGAACTCATTTAAAATAAAACAAAATGCACTATTTTCTCTCTATTGTGGCACTTAGAAATCAGCATATATTCAATTCCTTCCTGCATCTTAGGAAATGACGCTCCATAATCCTGGAATTGGCTTAAATTCCTTCTTTATTCCCAAACAACCAAAACCTCCAGCAAAATCTTCCTTCACTATAGTACAGTATTCAATGGGAGATAATCACATTACTAGTGGTCAGGGCTTTTTTTTCTCATAGAACGCTCAGAACGGAGTTCCGGCACCTTTTTGGGATGGAACCTTGTAGGGTAGGCAAGGCGGGTTGTATGACATGTGTGAGTTCCGGCACCTTTTTTTTTTTTTTTTAGAAAAAAAGCACTGCTAGTGGTAGAGAAGATCAGTCCATAGGCCAAACGTAAGCATGCTCCAGAGCTCCCACTACTAGAAGTGCCCATTACCTACTTAAATACATTTGATGAAATATAAGCTAAATATCAGTAAGAGCTGATTTCTTGAAATCTGAGAGCAATATTTAGAAACATATTTTAATTTATACTTAAATAGTGAACAAAGTTCTCCTGTTATTTCTTATTTTTAAGACTTTGTGAGGGGCATTTGCACAGTAATATAAACTGTAATTAAACAAGTTTATGGAGATACTGATCAGTTAATCTCAAGTATTGTTTCTAGAGTTCATAAATTGAGAATTTTGTTCTATTTTTTATTTTTTCCAGATATAGAAGTTAAAATTTACTTTTCAAAAATATCTGTGTTCTTCTGGCGTTGTTTTGAGCTACTCTGAACATTATCTAAGTTCAAAAACTGTAATATTAATAATCATGAACTTTGAAAACACCCTTTGCTTGAATAATGGCTGTTTTAGATTTCCCTTTTTATTATTAAGGGTTATAAGACTGCTTTTTTGATGTTTTTAAGGGACATTATAAGTGGAATATGACTACAACGCATGGTTCCTAGGATCATATTGTACCTAGCCCAGATTAGAAACTGTTCATTCAGAATCCTTAAATTCATTTGATCATTGAGAGTTCATTGTAAGCTTTACAAAATAATTTTTGAAACAATAGTATAAAGAAAAACATTCAAGAATTTTTCAGTTCATAATGAATATACTGATATTGTTTGTGAATATAAAGACATGGAATTTGGTAAAAAATATTATATTTCTTGCTATATTTACCAGTCTGAAGGATCTTAGGACTGACAGTCCTTCCACATTTGCAAGACCCAACTCCATCAAACTCAAGCTGACTATGATGCCATCAAAAATATTCCAGCCTTCTTGGAAATAATAATAAGGATCCATGGCAATTATTTTGAAGATCATTTCTGCAGTGAAGATCCCAGTGAAAACCTATATACAAACATTAATTTAAGTATGAGTTACAATGTTTTGAAATTAAAGCAAGTACTTAATGCAAATATTTCCTACACATGAGAATCACTTTTTTTTTATTCTGAAGCAGAAAATTAGTACATCTAGATCATATTCAGGGTTGTGGCCTTGTATGGAAATATGTCAGTGGTGGGATTCAAATATGTGAACAATTGGTTCTCTGTGTGGATGCCGCTTCCAGAAGTCCATTCTGGGCCTGGGCAACAAAAAATTAGCTACCGGTTCTGCCGAAGTGGTGCGAACTGGCTGAATCCCAGCACTGAAATATGTTAAATATCAAATCCAAGATGTTTGGCACAGAAAGTATCTGTTCTACCACTGAGTTATAATTTTTTCCCCATAGAAAATGCAGATACAGCTTGCTATAGAGGTATAGCATGGCAGAGATAGTAATACACAAGTTTAAATGCTTTCAAATTATATACGTATGCTTTTAATACTTCATCTCAATAGAGGACTCTTTTCTTAAGCCTTGTATGCCTATGTATCTCCCATTCCAAGGGTGTTACTATTGTGTAGGGTAGAAAAACCCAAGTTGCACCCCTTGTTAGCAATAAAGCACAGAAAGATGACTCTGGCCCAAACCTTTCTTAAAGGTTTGCAGTAATCTGCCTTGAACTCTGAAGATATAAACAGGATGGATGGAAGGAAAGAGAGGGAGGGAGGGGGAAGAAATAAAGAGAGAAGCAGAAGTTCTAAGCCAGTTGGGTGAGTTTAGGCCAGTTGCACTCTTTCATCCCAACCCACCTCACAGGGTTGTTGTCGTAAGGAAAACAGGAGGAGGGAGGAATATTAGTTACGTTCTCTGCATTGAGTTATAGATATGTGGGTGGGTTAAAAATGTTAACTCCCTCCCACAACATATCTTCATCCTTTTTTAAAATTTTAATTTCTGCACAGATTTTAGAACAGATGATGATGAAATAATTTATTAGATTACATAAATTTATTATTTGATTTCTTATTAAAAAAAAGAACTTGGTTTAATATGATTTGCTTTAAGTTTTATAGAAGTTAA